GTACTAAGTCATTTAGGGATTTTGGAAATCACACCTTATGTTCCAAAAACCTGTTTCTGGCATCAGCCATAATTCTGATCTTCCCTTTCCCCCCCATAATTGAAATTTTAAGATGGAAGAGAATAATGAGCTTAATTTCTAGGGAAGTAGAAACCGTCTGCTTTAGGACTGTTTTTTCTCCTCCTTTTTAGAAAAATGTATATCATTAACCAGGTTAGATCATAGAGCTTGACTTCCTCATGGGAAACAAATTAGAAGACACTCAAACAGCAGCGCCTGGGCAGCAAGATCTCGTTTCAGCCAAGAGTAATGATCTATCCCTCCAGCAATGTGAATTCAACCCAGAGAACTCTGGTTGAGAGACAATGGGATGCTGAGTTACGATACGGGCAGGATTAGCAGCTACTTGCCGTGCTCCTGTACGTGGTCATGCCCAGCTGTGGTCACCGACGGGCAAGATTGAGCAAAGCAGACCGTGGGTCCTACTCAACATCCTGCTCTTGCCTAAGATGTTCAAAATTTATAGACTTCCCCATGGGGAAGTGGGTTTCAGCTGGCAAACCCTCTTCTACAGAGATGGGCCTCAGTGCTGAATGGAGAAAAGCAAACTTTAGTAAAACAATAAGCCCCAACACAAATGCACAACAACAAAGCACATACTGGCACGAGAAGTTCAGCTGCCAGGCCTGGTTTCTGCACCAGGAAACCCAGCTCTGCTCCACGGACAGCTTCACCACTCTCAAACCCAACTGCCCCAACTGCGGTGGGTCTGAATGAAGGATTCCGGTGAGATCTGAACCGAGTTTTACCCAGGAGCAGCTTTCCTGAGAACGGTTTTTAGGGTATTTTTTTGTTTCCCCCACTTGCATTCTCACAAGATCCTGCCCCCGTAGCTGCCAGCAGTTGTATTCTCCAGCTGCTAGGAGCTCTTCTCGGCAAAGCCTGACACCAGGCTCCGTTTCCAAAGCCACAGCGAGCTGTTGGGGACAGACGCCTTTCGCAGCTTCTGGCGCAGGAGGGAACGGCCGCGCGTGCTGTTTCCAACCTGCAATCGTTTCCTTTGCCGAGAGAACATCCTCCAGTAACTCCCTGAGAATGCAGCCTGGCCGGCGCTTAGGAAACTTTCAAAACAAAGAGCAAAGACAACCCTAATATTCCCATTTCTCTCTCTAGTAACCTCCTAAGCGTTTGAATGAAGAATTTGAGACAGTGGTTGTTCCGTCTGTTTGAGCTGGTTTTAACCAATGAGTCTATAGAGATGGAATTTTTTTTAAGGGTTAAACTGCCCCTCTGGTGTGATCCCAGGTTTTTTACCAGAACATTAACTGCACTAGAGAAGAGCGTAATTAATAACACGGCTTGAAACAAACATTCACATTCCAATACTCATTTAATGCAGGGTGGAAGAACAATCCACCTAAAGCCATTAAAATATAAATTCCGTATTCTCCACTTTTATACTGTTCTTCCAAATGTACTCAAAAACTTGACGAGTTTCCTTCCACCAGAAACAGCAAGGCAGCACGCTGTGTGACAGAAGTACCTGACAGCGCAGCTGCAGAACAGATTGCTCCCAGCACGTGCATCGGCAGCCAGCGCCACATATGAACACAGAGAGGGTTTAGCTGCTCGTTGACAGCCACATCAGCTTTCACCCAAGCTGCAAGCTCAAAAAAAAAAAAAAAAAAAAAGCACAGAGGTTTGAACAACTTTCAGGGTAACTGGAAAGAGTTATGTTGCCTTATACCATTCTCGCAAAAACTGTCCCAGTATTAATTTTAACCTTTTACTTAGGACTTGGCTGGAAGGGTGGCTCGTAATTCCTGATAATTCAGTGCATGATAACAGAGTAAGAAAAAAGCCAACCACAAGGAGCAGCAGCAGGTTTCAGTTTAAAAAAAATCTACTTTTTATTTGGGTTATTGTCATT